TTTTTTTTTGTCTGGGAAGCTCATTATGTCACCATCTATCTTGAATGACAGTCTTGCTGGATTGGGTAGTCTTGCTCTCAGATCCTTGTTTAGCATTACCTTGAATACTTCATGCCATTCCCTTCTGGCCTGTAGAGTTTCTGATGAGAAGTCAGCTGACAGCCTTATGGGAGCTCCTTTGTAGCAACAGCTTGCTTTTCTCTAGCTGCCTTTAATATTCTCTCTTTGCTTTGAATTCTTGGCATTTTGTGATGTATCCAGGTGTGGGCCTCTTTGGGTTTGTCTCTCTTAAGACTCTCTGTGCCTCCTGAACTTGTGTGGCTTTTTCCTTCACCAGGTTAGGGAAGTTTTCTGCCATTATTTCTCTAAACAGGTTCTCTAACCCCTGCTGACTTTCGACCTATTCTGGCACTCTTATAATGTGAATATTGTTATGTTTCATGTTGTCCCACAGCTCCCTTAAACGGTCCTCCTGTTTTTCAATTGTTTTTTCTTTCTGGATCTCTGACTGAGTGATTGTTTTCTATTCTGTCTTCTAATTCGTTGATCCAATCCTCAGCTACCTTTAATCTGCTGTTTATTCCTTCCAATGTATCCTTTATTTCTGCTATGTCATTCTTCATTTCCTCATAGTTTCCATATCGTTTTTCATGCAGTTGAGCATCCTTACATTCAGTATTCTGAACGCTATATCTGATAGATTGCTTATCTCCATTTCATTTAGCTCTTTTTCTAGAGACTTCTCTTGTTCTTTCATTTGGGGCTTGTTTTTTTGTCTCCCCATTTTGGCTGCCTGTTTGGGTTTGTTTCTATGTATTAGATAGATCTGCTAGGACTCTCAGTCCTTTTGGAGGGTCTCTTGTGCAGGCCAATGTCAGACACAGTTGTGACTGGCCCTGAGTACCCTGTTTGAAGTCTCCTCTGTTGGGGCTGGCTGCTATTGGACAGGACCAAGATACACACCAAAGTCTGCTTTTCCAAGGCCTGGTTCCAGAAGCAGATCAGGCAAAGACTCACAGCACTCTGAGGTCTGCCCTTGCCTTCAAGTTGATTAATCTGATTCTGTTAATGAGCCTGAGGCTGTAGAAACTCCACAGGGTGGGGTGGCTTTTGTTATCAGTCTCTTGAGGAGCCTCAGGCTGTAGAAACTCCTCTGGGTAAAGTGAGAGGCTTTCCAGCAGGGTGGGGCAATTACCCCCCCCCCCCCCCAGGCAAAAGCTACTTGGAAGGTAAATGTCTGCCTGAGAAAGATGTCCTCTGCCCTATGNTATGGAGAAATGACTCGGCACAGGAATCCAGAGGAGTGCCTTCTGATCTCAATTTCCAGAGCCCACAACCCTAGATTCTCCTCACACAGCTCCAGTCCACTCTGCCCTACCTTTGCTGGAGCCCAAGGTGAGTGACTGCACACAAAACTTTGTGTGTTTCATCTTTAAGAGGGTGCCTGCATTTCCAGCCATCTCTCCCTGGAAGACAGAAACCCAGCTGCTTTTCACAGCCAGATGTTATGTGGGCACCTTTCTCAGTTCTGGTGCTCTAGGTTAGGAAGCCCAGTCTGGGGTTTAGGTTCTAGAGTCCTCAGTGGGAACCCCCACAGCTGAGATATCCCTCCAGACCTGCAGCTGCTGCTTATGGGAGCCCAGACAGCCTTTTCGTGCCTCTGTACTTCCTACTAGTTTCTACGCAGTCTCCACTCTTCCTCCTTGGTTATGAGGGTGCTCTCCAGCTCGTCTTCAGTTGCAGTTGATTATTTAGGATGTTTTTTCTATATTTTAGTTGTAATTCCAGTTTGGTCCCAGGAGAGTGTCAGTGTAGCTTCCACTCAGCCCGTTGCCATCTTTAATCCTTTTGTTTACCTCATCTTCAGAGAGTATCTCCAGGCTCACCTCAGGCCTTCATACAGGTAATCTGGTTAAGGCCTTGGATCTCAGGTGAGGTCTGACCACTTTGTTTTTATAAAGTCCAGGTTAATTTACTACATACAAACAAGTAGAGCTTCAAACCTCTGGCTAAAGTGGGTTCTAGGCCATGGATCCAATGATCTCAACTCATTTAGACACACAGTCATACACGAACACGGAATCCTCTTCACACTCATGCCCACGATGCAGCCAAGGGATTTACCCCTATCTACGCAAAGCCTCCCCACAGCCAACAACAGCAGAGTGTGCAACTTCGTCATCTTTTTACAAATGGGGAAAAATAAAAATAACTCTAGAAAGAAAGAAAAGAATAATTTTGGCTTAGAGGTCAAATTGAATTATTGGATAGATATAATCCATTACCAGGTAATCATATCTTAATCAAATCTAAAATGCTAGGGCAAGAATGCCACAGCGGCTTCTTGCGTTGCTTTGACATGTCATAAAAAAAGTTAAATGCCTAATTGTAGGCCACACAATTTTATTTGGCACCCATTTGATTCATTACGGCACAGTACAGACAATGGATTTCTTATAAAGAACCACCACACCTTACTAGGGAACAATCATTCCATTTATTTCAAATGATGTTACTTTACGGTCTTGAGGTAAGATTATTTCATCTAGAGAATCCCCCCTCCATTATTCTCCTAGTAATACCAGTGTGCATTATTATAACTCAGCTTCCAACTTCTACTTTTCACTTTTCACTAAAAAAATAGGGCCCTGGCCGGTTTGGCTCAGTGGTTAGAGTGCTGGCCTGGGACTGAAGGATCCCAGGTTCGTTTCCAGCCAAGGACATGTACCTCGGTTGCAGGCTTGATCCCTGGCTCCAGTTGGGGCGAGTGTGGGAGGCAACCAAATGATGTGTGTCTCTCACATTAATGTTTCTCTCTGTATCTTTCTCTCTCCCTTCCATTCTCTGAAAAGCAATGGAAAAAATATCCTCTGGTGAGGATTAAAAAAAAATCATAGAAATTCAAATAAAAAAGTTATTAAGTTTATCCATGTACGTATAGCAGTAGAATGCTTATTGATGAATACCTAGGTTGTTTTACTTTTTAAGTCAATGCAATGATTTTTTTAAAAAATTAAGAACCATCTTTCTAGTGTTGTTTTGCCCTCACATCTCTGAATTAAATATACTTCTATATTTTGAAGTGTTCTTTTGTGTTGATTTCTTATCTCAAAATCACACTGAATACATTTCTCTATGGAGTATATAAAGGAAACCAGGATTCTCCATTAACACCAAAGCTATGAGATCAGACCCCCTGTTCCTCTCCCTAACACAAGCTGCCCTGCTCAAACCGTGGGAGAGGTTGGTGCATTTATGACTGTGAGAAAGAGCAAGAACTGGCCTCCACGCACACACACCTACCTTTTAATGTTTCAATGTCATAGAAAGTTGCCGCAAACCTGGTGGACCGATGGGACGCTGAGCGAGAGTCCGGGCTGGTAAAACTCTTCAGCTTCAGTCGGCATCTCCACAGCTTCCAGTCCTCGAAGTGTGTGATCTGCAGAAGTTCTTCCAAACCAGAAGCCGCCCTAATCTGCTGTTCAGATTGTTCTAACATTGACTGCTTGGAAAAACAAACAAACAAACTACTGGTTTAAAGGCAAGTTACTCAAGTTTTACTTTGTCTGATAACATTCATTGCTAACACTTAAAAATGTAAACAGAGCTAAAAAGAAATTAGAGAGATGATTCAAATGTACAGCAGTACCTAGAGAAAAAACAAACTAGTATTTTGACTCACATTCTGCTCACTTATGATTGAATCAAAGGAATTACTTATTCCCCCTGGGTTCTCAGAATATTTAAAAACAGTGGTGGACTTCAAAATGATATGTCTACTTCCTAACCCCCAGAACCTATAAATGTGACTCTATTTGGGAAAAGGATTTTTGCAGATGTCATGAAGTTAAGGATCTTAAGATGAGGTCATCCTGAATTATCCAGGTGGGCCCTAAATCCAAAGACAAATGTCTTTATAAGAGACAGAATAGGGGAAGCCACAAACAGAAAGGGGAAGATTTTGTGGAGACAGAGGCAGAGATTAAAATAATGCAGCCACAGGCTAGGGATGGCCTGTAGCCACCAGAAGCTGGAAGAGGCAAGGAAGGGTTCTATCCAAGAGACTGTGGAGGGAGCAGAGCCCTGCTGACACCTAGTTTTCAGAATTTTGGATTCTAGAACTGAGAGACAATACATTTCTGTTGTTATAAACTACCAACTTTGTGGAAATTTGGTACAGCAGCCACAGGAAATTAATATATATTTTAAAATCATACTATTTTTGTGACAGGAGTCAATGACAATTGTTTTCACTTCTATTATTTGTTTGAGAAATTGACCCACAAAGTTCTGGGGACCCTGCCTACAGTCACACAGGAAAGAAGATTTTAAGATTCTAATAACTTGAATTTTCTGACTTCTAATCCTCTAAGCCTTTTTTCTTTTAAAACCTTTTTACTCTATGAAATCAATAAAAATATATTTTCAAAAAAATAAACCTGTTTACCATTTCAAAGATATGATGGTGGTTTTTTTCTGATAAAATACACTTCTACATATTATACTGAAAATTTCCTTTCCACACAGTTGCGTGAACTGTATTGATTGATATGATGCCTGGATTTGTGAGTAAAAATGATTCGGCCAATAAAAGATTTTCAATATGTAGTCTAATTGTTCAACATTAGGGGTGTGGTTATATAAATAATGATACATGCATACAATGAAATATTATGTGAGCACCAAATCCAATGATTTAGAGATATACTGAGAAAGAATGAATCTTCATTCAGCAGTGTTTTGAGTAGAATTTAATTTAGATATGACAATGGATACTGAGTGGTCCGAAAGTGGGTGCTCAGAAGAGCAAGCATGGTCCAAGTCATGCACAATTCAATTATATCTCTTTTAAAATTATTTACGTGTGTATAATGTGCATCATATATATAAACAATTAACCACTGCTAATTAGACTGGACTTTCTGTTTTCTTCACTCAAGTCATCTGATCAACTGTTTTCGGACCAGTTCTCAGCTTCCATGACTTTTCCAAGATTGAAGACGAACAATCTTGTTTTCCAGGCTAAACAGCCCAAAGTCGGCTGCCTCATGTGAGACCATTCCAGACGACAGAATAAACTGCTGCTCAATTTCCTAAGAAGCCCAAACAACTCATTTGTCAAAAACCGATTTAAAAATAATAGGTACCGCCTTAACCTAATGGAATTCAACAGGGAAGTGCAAATTATAATCCTTTTACAAGCTGGTCTGTAAAATATTTGGAAGAAGATATAAATGAGAATACAAACATGGACGCCAAGTGGAGGGAGCATGGCTTAGAGTACACGGCTGGCTTCCCATCTCGGCTCTGAGCCTTTCTTGGGCCATCCCAGTCCCATGTTGTTAAGAACCTTCTGTTCTGGACACGGAAAAGGAGATCAGCTTTGCAAGACTCCTCACTAGACCTCTTGAGAACCGTATCTCTGAGACTGTGTTTCCAAGCCTTTTACAAACTGTTGATGCTATTTTGTCAAACTGTGTTGGCAACATGTCTTCAGGAAGTTTGCTGGTAAGGGGGTGAGATGAATAGAATTTGTATACTTGGAAAATCCAGAAGCTTCCGTGTGAGCAATGGAAGGAACACATTTCACCTAACTTTCCCTAGGCTTGCTTAGGGATTTACAAGCATTGCCTGGGGCCCGGTTCTTTGTAGTGGGTTTAGGGAGGCAGATCAGGTTGCAACAGAAATAGTTCCTGTTCCCTCCACCTCTTAGCAACTTCCATTTCACTAGAAGCATTTTGCATTGCATCTTTAACTTGATGTTTAAGGCTTAGCCAGAACCACCAAATCTTCCCCGGTTTGGGGTCCAAGTTGTACCATCAGGTCCCCAGCTGTCCCCCCCGCCCCTCTATTCCCATTTCTCACTCTCCCACCTGTCAAAAAATCTGTTCAGGTCATGTTAAACTTGTGAGTTCAAGTTGAAGTTTTGTGACTTTGCCTCCTGCAACTCCCAAGTGGAAATAACATCTCCCTAAAGGAAGCTTTGCCTAATACAATGAACCCCTCTGTCCTCTGGACATACAGCTATTGGGGAGGGGGGAGCATGGATTCGAAGTGTTCAAAACTGGCTTTGAATGCTACAGCACTCTGGAAAATGTGTGGGCAGTTGCTATGAAGTTCAACATACACTCACCATATGACCCAGAAGTCCCAGTCCTGGGAATTTACCCTTGAGAAATGAGGACTATGTTCACAGAAAAAACTTTACATGAATGTTTATAGTTTGGCTTTCTTTGTTATAGCCAAAATAAAATTGGAAACAACCCATATGTCATTCAATGGGTGAATGGTCAAGCAAACTGTGCTACATCCATCCCACATAATACCACTCAGCAATGAAAAGGAATGGACTGTGGTACACGTAGCAACTTGGATGGCTCTCAAAGGCTTTGGGAGTGAAAGAAGCCAATCTCAAAAGGTTATTGATGGCACTATTCCATTTATGACAGTCTCAGAAAAACAAAATGATGGTGATGGAGAAGAGATCAGAGGTTGGGGGAGGGTGTGACTATAAAAAGCTAGCATAAACGAAAATTTTTCTGTATCTTGATTGTGGTGGTGATCACACAAATCTATGTGTTAAATTTCATAGAGATGCACATAAAAATGGAATAATACTGATATTACTATATAGTAACTTTAAAAAAATTAACGAAGCTGGCTTTGAATCCAAAAGGCACTGCTCCTTTTTAGCTGTTTGACTGAGGGTCAATTTTTGAACTTCCTTAAGCCTTGGTTTCCTCATTTGGAGATGGCAATGCTGATAACACCTCATAGAGCTGATGTGGCGATTATATGAGGTCATATGTGGGAAATGATCAGGTATAGAGTAGACACTCAATAATGTTCATTTCCTTTTTCAGGGGCAGGGCATCTGGCCCTGTGCTGGGGTTACAGATCTTTGTTTGATGGCCCTTGATTTTCCTTAGTAAAATCAGAGAGGTGGGTTTGAAAAGAGCAAGATGGGGCAACTCCGATTACAGTAAATAAAAACTCAAAAAAGAGAAAAATTTTCCAGGGTAAATCAAGAACACATTTCTTTCTTCTTTCTTCTTCTTTCTTTCTTTCTCTCTCTCTCTCTCTCTCTCTTTCTTTCTTTCTTTCTTTCTTTCTTTCTTTCTTTCTTTCTTTCTTTCTTTCTTTTCTTTCTTTCTTTCTTCTTTTCTTTCTTTCTTTCTTCTTTTCTTTCTTTCTTTCTTTCTTTCTTTCTTTCTTTCTTTCTTTCTTTCTT